CTCCTATTGCTTTTACATGCTTTATTGTGAAAACCTACGAAGTTCTCAAGGCGCCATAGATTTTCTAACAGTGGAAGGGTACATGCGGTAGAATAACTTTGATCAATTCGAGCAACATACGTAAATATTTACATATGTGAGAAAATATTAATAAAGAAAAGGTGTCCAGGTTGTGTACGTATGTCTAACTTGCGAAATTATTATTTTCAAATTGTATCGAAACTTTAATTCCCTTTTAATTTTCAAATAAATTTACGAAAGTACAAGATAAAAGTATTTCGTCTCCTTTTTCTCTCGAAATTTATACTACGTCACCGTTAAATAAAAAAGAAATGTTATATTTCAATTTTAATAGTTTCGTTTCAAAAAACGACGTTCCATGTGCACCAACCTAGTAAAAGGATCCAATAGCAAGAATTACAACAGGTATACCGTTCGTAAAAGTGACGAAAAATTCTAAACTTAAAAAAAACATATAGAGAGGTCTTACTAATACATTCATTTTTCAACAATTAATATTACGTTGAAAGTTTACTTTCTTTATAGCACAAGGGATACTGTAGTAGGATAAAAGACAGAACTAACAAGGGAACATATCGAAGTGACAATCACTGATTTTCTTGAAATTTAAATATAGCGTAGTTCTCGTAAAAGAAGTGATTGAAACATAAATGTTTTTTACACTACGAACATTTTAAGGTAACCGCATCATCACAGTTCAGGATTTGTTTAAAGGCAGCGATGAATGTCTGGCAAGAAAACGAGCTATTTTCAGAGCTATCACATATTTTACGTGTTTAAAAAAAGTAAATTATTTCAAATATTTAAATACTAAAAGTTTAGTCACAGATAGTAGACAGTGTATGTGTTTAAAAAAAACTGTAAAAAAATTTGTTTAAATATCGTTGAAAAATTCTTCTAACAGGATTCAAACCTGTGACAAAAAAAAAGGCACCGTACTAGCAGCCTGACTCATTACAGACTATTTACACACACGACACTCGCTATTGTAAAACTCGGCGACTCATTGCAAGATACGGGTAGATCGCACGGGCTATATCATTTCAAATATACTAATTTTATAAACGAATATTCAAGAAAATGTATTGACATTTAGTTGAAAACATTATCAAAAATATGCTATTTTTCAATATATTATGTAAACAAATGAATTTTTTGTAAAATAGTTTACACCATCTAATTTGTCATTTTATCAATTTACACAATTAAGTACTCTATCTCTAATTGTAAGTAGTTTCCGAGTAATTCGACGAAATGGGTTTCGTAGCCTCAACTTTTGGGGTGGTTTTCACCTCTTTAACATGGATGGTTGCCGATACAAAGAAATACGTATCAAATATTTGTAGGGGAACTACATTATACTTAAATTTCATCAAAATCGGTGACTGACATTTCGATATGTTCCCTTGTAAGTACCTATTACAGAAAGAAACTTACCAAAAACGAGGCTGAGGGCGTATCCGAATGGAGCCTGACACCAAACAAGACCTCTCGTGTAAATTGCTTCGGCGGTGCCATTGATGTACCCACCACCGACCCAGGTCGCTGTCATCGTAAAAATTCCAACGAACAATCCGATCGAACGACCTGCTAGCATGACTTCCTCCTCGGAATCATTGCCAGCCTCCTTCTTCCTCGCCGCCCATATTCCTACGGCTAAGATCAGCACGTAGAAGAGAATAATTGAGACGAGACCGGTGAAATTGATCATCTTCGGGGAGTACGGGTCCACTTGCGTGAACTCGAACTGACGGAGGCGTAAGTCCGAAAGGTGTGGCGGCCGATTCGATTTCGGGAGATTCGGATATCTATTTACAAAATTGAAAACAGACCCCCGTTGAACGATAAATTGGTGTAAACATGCCGAAATGTTCGATGTAAATAGAACAAATGAAAAATAGAATATAATGAGAGAATGACAATTATAACAAACACCTGACATTAGTATCTCAGGAGCTTGTATTCTGTATAGAATACAGTGAAACACTTTTTAAAATTGATTTCAGCAAACAGAAATAGTAAACATTTCATTGTTTGTATAATGAAGCAATGTGTATTATACAGAGTAGGCCACTTAATCATCTTCTCTAGTTATGGTGGTACGAGAAAATTTGTATACATAACTTAACCCTAGAGCAGTCTTCGGGTCTTTTTTGACCCACCGCTTTCTTATTTTTTTTAGTAATTTTTGCTGTTATCAAGTTTACGTTCCTTAACATTATTCTAAACGTTTATTGTCTAGGTTCATATGTCGCGTTGGAAACAAAAATTGTTTCACATAAGGTCTTAGGTCCTTTTTGACCCAAAAGTCTTAAGTGTAGAGTCAAAACGAAGAACGCACTAGGGTTAAATGGTTTCAAGGGGTGAATAAAATGGAAGAAAAATTTTGCTACAAATCCCATCTTTTTCTGTTTTTTTCCCAAGGTTACCTATGTTTTTTTATATAAATGTATGTATTTTTTTATATGCATGTAAGCTTACATAATAATGTGACCTCAAAATGACCTTGGACTGTAAAATTTTATATCAAATGTGAAACTTCCTTTCATTTTTTGCCATTTCCTCCATGGAACAAATTATTCTTCCATCTTGTTCACTCTTTGAAATAAAGTATAAAAATTTTCGCACACAACCATAGCTAGAGAAAATAATTAGGTGTCCTCTTTTACGTGACCCATCCTATATATAATATTAATCAATCATAGCCGTGTGATTTGTATCCTCGATGGACCTTATTCCAATCAATATAGAAAGAATAAATTTGTCAAGGTCTCATTAATTCCGCATCGTCAGTCTTTGGATTCAATGAATTGTATATTTCGTCGCTGTAGTAAAAGCAGTAAGTTTTTATTTCACATTATTTTAATTGACTATTGCACATCATGCAAACGTTATGCATGATTAAAAACTGAAGGGAATCTGTTTTACCCTGAATTCAATCACCTTGGGTTAATTGCATTCTGTTCTTCTACTCAATTAACGCGGTGGTCGATGCACTCGTAGCTAATGCGTGCAGTTAAGTGTGAATTTTATGTTCCTACCCAGGAGGCATTTAAATCGCTCGGCTGGGTTCACCCTCTAATCCCATTAGTTTTGCTTTACCCTATGTACTAACAGCTCCTCTATAAGGAACGCATGGCCTTGCTACATAAAAAAGACGCAATAACATAAATAAAACACGAAGGTTCAAGGTCTTGCTATTAGATACAACGGGATTAGTAAATAAAACCAAGTTACTTATACTATCTAATTAGCGCGTTGAACACGTCCCTTTAAATAACGATCGATTGAAATTTTTTGAAATCGGACTTGAATGAAACTTGTACTTGGCACTTGTCGTCGGTATAACAACGAATTAATATCAGATATTTGTTACCTACACTTCTGTATGTTAGAAATATTTGACGCATGTTCAAATAAAACGAATGACCAAGTTACTATTTCGTTCACTTTGTTTCGGAAGTTCTGGGGTAAGTGCCATGCTGCTTCTCACATTCCTCTTACCAGAAGGCACCCTAACCTCCCTTACTCCGTGGCCAGATCCTCTGTTTAGAAACAACGTTCCCATTCGTAAAGCAAAGCAACGTCGGACTGCTTGCCACCCCTAAACTTTCTCATGCCTTCTACAAAACAATCAACCCTATGACACCCGATAGCTACGTGACTTCAAATCACCAGCAATCGCTGCTCGTCTAAATTGTCTCTTCTCGCGAACACTCTCTCTGGCCACGCGCAGTTTAGGTACCTGGCCGTAAATCGTACGAAAGCAAAGTTAGCGCCAGGCTAATTACTTTCTACGAACCTTAAAAATACTCTACCTCTAACAAGTACAATTTGACCTATCGTCAATGTAACCACAATTTTCCTGGTTAGTGTGAAGCAAAGATACGCGAATCCACGTTAGTTAATCGAAACTGCATTTTGTATTATTTCACGTATAAACAGAACGTCGTACTTTCCAATCTGCAGGTAAATTATCATGTTAACTAATTATTCGAACGTTTGTACATTCACAGTCTCAACATTGAGCTATACTTGGTTGAATGCAAAGCTCCTATCAATTTATTTCCACATGTACACAGAGCAACTTAAGTCATAAACTTCGATTCTAACAACTACAAAAACGAGGGAAGCTTGTGCAGTGGACCATGCGTGGTTACAGAGAAATTACCATGCGTACTGCGCGTTCACGAGAAAGATGGCAAGCGGGACGGTACAGTTGCAACGGGGTGTATTTAACCCGCACCGTCCGAAACTTTCCCGCGATGTTATCGCATTCGGCCAATAATGACAATACGCGTGCCCTAATTCTGCGATTGTGTCGGAGAAGGTGTACGACCCAATCAGACCCGCATTCTTTTGCCTTGCAATCTTCTCGTGAACGGACAGTACACTGGTAAGTATATATTAATGATACCTCTGAAGCCCCCGCGGAGTACAATCACGAAGTAGTGGGGGACAGCCTCACACGGGTACCGGCGGCATGTCCTGATGACGGTCCTTCCAGACGGCCGACGACGACGGAGGGTTGGGATTTGGGGGGCAGCAGTCGCCCCACCGGAGCGAGGTCTTCTGGGAGGGGCTATTTCTTGTTCTAAACGCGAGGCCGCCCATGGGCGCTGATGGCCATCGATTTTCACCCAACTCACCAAGTTTGCTGCTCCCTGCTGGTGCTTTTGCTTCCTCCTCCGAGTTCTTCCTTCTCCACTGGTACCAGTACTGATCGTATGGTCCTTTACCTGAAATAGACCGAAGTGCATCCTGCCAGAAAAGTGCGCGAATTTCTTAGAAGAAAAAAACATGGCGATAGAGAACGAAACGGGTTTTCTGTTTGATCAGTCGTCCGATTGATTTTTAAGTGATCGAACAAAATTTCATTTCCAGCGGGAAAAATTACTTTCGCACAATCGTCGTCGATATTTTGCAATTCAAATACACTTCGATGTTCTTCATTTTTGTTTTTTTTGTAAATTTACATGTAAATGTTATTCACACTTGCCACCGTTAATTTGTAACAATAGCTTCGAGTCACTTTTGACGTGAATCAATCGTTTTACAGTCGATACGTACGGTTTGTTATAATCGGTTCTGTCAATGTTCGAGAACAATTTGAACCGATGCTTATACCACTCCGGGGAAATATTAGAACCGCTTGTATATAGATATAGAGAGCGAGTAGGACTTATGTAACCGTAAATGGAATCAGACATTAGCCTGTCGTAGCTTTTTAGACAGATGAATTTCTTTAGCTAATTACCGTATCCATAAGTGCCCGCAATAGGTTTGCATAAACGGACAATACACATATACTCGACACATGTATAGCGAAATAAATAAATCTGGACTATCTTCAGCGATAGACAGCGGTGACACGTATTTCTGTTATCAGCTGAACAACAGCGGACAAAAGAAAAATCAAATTGGTCGCGTGTGCAAATAAATCAATTCTACCTAGGTTCAAAGCCATCAGCGGGGTCTATGAGAACCTCATTCTTCAAACAAGCTATCGAACGTCGGGTAGAAAGGAAATCTATATACTCACAGGTGCACCAAAACGATGGTCTCCAATCCTTGAGTATTTTTCTAGCACTCGTACACGTTGTTTCAAGTGTTACAGATAATAAATAAAGCGGTCCGCAGGGTTCTGTTTAACGATTCCTTTCTTTTCCTTTTTCTTCCTCTTCTTCTCAAAACACTCTCGCACGCAGATTATTCACGATTATCTTGAACTTGTTTTAAGAAAAAACAGATGAACAATTATGGAGAACCGAAGAACCGCGAGAAGGAAGATTTGTGAACAAGGACGAAGCGAAGAAAAACATGCCGGAAGTAATTCGAGGGTGACGAGCAACGAGTGCAATTCCCGTGACAGTTGTCCTCGTCGTCGTCGTCACCGTCGTCGTCCTCGTCAAAACGACGTGCTGTCAGCGTCGTTAACGGTTGTGGAGGCCACCCCGTACTGAACAGCGGTATCTTTCTCGCAGTCGAGGACCGGCAGCGGAGGAATGGTTCCGTGATATTGATTCGACCCCCGTGACGTCATACCGACTCACGGGGGTGCGTCCTACCCTCTCGCTTTGCTTCCGTCTTGCTCTCTCCCGTACCTTCTCACCGGCTCTCCTTCTCTTCCGGCCACCACCGCTTCCCTCACCATGTCCTCACTTCTATCGAACCCCCGACTTGATCGAAGTCGGGGGCGTGGACTGAGTAAAGAGCCGTGAGTCTGCGCTTAAAATACCACAATAGACACGAGTTCACCGTGACTCGTACACGTATCAACGGGAATCCAGCTGGACGAAGGTCCCCGAACAGGTATCTTTAGTATATGATTAAAGGTGAGTCGAGCGAATTAGAAAATCAGAAATCTATGAGCATCAGAGCGTACGAACATCATCGTATCGTGCCTCCACTTCGTTCAGGTCAATGAAAATAGGTAAATTAAGTTCTACTCGTGAGGCTTCGTTAAAGAGTTTAATGGATATTGCAGGTGATACGACAGTGGTACGGTACGATAGAATATTTTTAAAGATCGAGATTTATTAGTTGGAGCTATTATAGCATAGCGAAATTTGAAGTTCGTGTAATTGTACGAAGTTCATGATGGAAGTGTAAAAAGTTTCAATACTACGTGCTAGGAATAATTTCCGATGGAATTGTATGTATCTACTCGTGTATATGTAATAAACAATTGAAATACGTCAGATAAAGTTCAATTTTAATGTGAAGAAAAAATAAGTTTTCTAAAGTTTGAATAATTACGGAGTAAAGCATTCATGGGCAATCTTTGTCAGGCGCAAAAATTGCAAACCTACAATTTACCTGTAATTATGTATTACATAAGGGAGCCACGCTAGTTCCTAGATAGTAATAACCTTTTTCACGGTAAATATTTTAAAAGTTCCTATTGAGAGAAAGTATTTATTGATACAATTATTGATCTGCGCAGAATACAAACGTAGGTAGTGTAGGTGTCATTGATCAGTTCTATAGGTCAGAGATCCGCAGCGGGTTGTACAGGTTCTCCAGGTGAGACTGCGCGGACACGTAGATGTAAACTGGAAGACACTAATACTCAAGGAACGCGTCAATGAAGGTAAGAAGGCTCATGACCTTGCAAACGAAATACTGTAAAACGCATGTTTCACACGTAACAGATCATAACCGTTACGTGTAACAATAAACAAATTAACGATAATGAATTCAATTGCTTTGAATCAATGTACATAGAGCTATTTAAAGAAAAAAAAAAAAATTTCTGCGAAGGATGTTGATAAAATTTATAGTTTCTATTTAACCTTGACACAACTTTATACACGAAATATATTTATTTTTAACTACAATGTAGTACGCATTTGTTTAGATATAAATGGTCTAGAAACGTTAAGAAAAATAACTATAAACATGTTATAATAGTAAACAAGGTCACCGAGTTTCTTCTTGGTTTATATTGAAAAACAGGATAATATATAGGGTGGGTCACATAAAACAGGACACTTAATTATTTTCTGTAGTTATGGTGGTGCGAGAAAATTTTTATACATAATTTCAATGGTTTCAAAGTGTGAAGAACCATAAGATGAAAGAAAATTTCTTTTGTAATGAATTTTTTTAAATAACCTTAAACTCTGAAATATTAAATCAAATGTGAAACTTCCTTTAATTTTTTTTCTATTTCTTCCATCAAAGAAAAAATTTCTTCCATCCTGTTCTCCCTTTTAAACCATTTAAATTACGTATAAAAATGTTCTCGTACTGCCATAGCTAGAGAAGATAATCAAGTAGCCCCTTTTACGTATAGTATTTGAAACTTCTGGGCTAGGAAATTTTGGTAAACACTTTCTTGAAATACCATAACCAGGACTATGTATCATAAATCAAATTTTATCAGTGTATTACCTCATTTTCAGTATAGCAAGAAATCTGTCACCCGATAAAGCCAGTAACAGAATGATTATTCATGACTAAAAGTTTTACGTTGTACTCTCGTGAGCTGTATTTGTATTTTGTTTTTTTTTCTTTTTTAATTCCAAACGAATACTGTGAAAGATATTTTTACACAATTAAGTCGAAACATCGTTTCTCCTATTGGAATGTGAAGACTGTGCACGTTTAAATGAAAGGTAACATTGGAGGGAACTTGAAGTCTATGAAATTTTTCATTATCAAGAACGTATCGCAAACTTCAATGCGCAACAATGAAACAACTGAATCTTTAAAAAAAAAAAGAAAACTCCGCAAGTGAATGAGAACTTCTTATCCCCTTTACTCTAATTCGACGAGAATTTTAATAAGCAATTAAAACGTAGATACAGAAGTAAATTGCCAATTGTATGGTAACGACAGAGAAATGATTTCCAACTGAAACGGTACCTATGTAATTAGTACATAAAAATCACTTCTCACACTCTACACGTGTCTTAATTGACGTACGACTTTCATATCTCGCGGAATTGGCGTGGCTTGTTCGTCGTCTTAAATAAAATGAATGTCTTTGTACAAGTTCATGCGCCGAGGCATTGGCAATGCTGACGTCAGGAACGATAAAGCTTGAATAAAGGAAAACCTATTAATGGTTGGACAACGAATCGCGTCGCTACCACGTTTGCTATAGATCAACAGAACAGCACCGGCGAACGGCACAATGTGGAAAAGCAAATATAGTTCGCTGTTCATGTTAGACAAAGATGCTCGCTGAGTGAAACGAGGAACCAAACCTTGCTCTACCACTTCTACTCCTGTATGGTCGATATCACTTGACCCACTCTTTCGAATCTAGAAACAGTACCTTCGTTTTTATACCCAGACTCCATCCCCGAGCCATCCTCAATGTTCGAGTGTTCGATTTTATCACAAAACGTCTTCTGACACATAACACATGTTGCAAGTGTAAGTACAGTGCAGAACTGAGAAGTTGACGTGTGGGACGGCGCAAGTACAGATGAGGTATTTCCCTCGCTCCGCCTCTTCCTTTTTTTGTACATTTTTTTTTTTTTCGTTTTACGCGGTGAAAAACCTTCATAAGCTCCGCGGCCACTGGGGAAACCCGGGGCTGGAGTACTGTGAGATTTCTACTGGGTAAAAACCAGCACAGCGATGGGAAGGCTCCGAGAACTCTTACGAACATTTCCTGTGCCCCATCGAAAAGACTGGCGTACCAGCACCCTAACCGAGTAGGTCACACTCGTTGATAAAAAGTTAAATGTGGAACGCTTGACGATTTAGCATGAGTCATTCTAAGCTTCTCTGTACCGTTCGAATTTTAGTATTACGCAAATCTGGAAACGACACAGGGGCAAAAAAGGTACTTTACTCGCGGCGCCTAAATCTCACGTCGCGCAATTTTAAATGATTCGATTCGTGGATGTTATCGCGTCGGTCAATAGTAACAATACACGTGCCCTATTTCTATGATTGTGTTAGAGAAGGTGGGCTTATGGGGATAGGACCCAATCAGACCCGCATTCCTTTCACGAGCACTTTTTCCAGCTCTGCATGATATACTAATATATTTAAGTACTGCTGAAGCAAGTATAGTTGGTGGAATCGACATAGTGAGATCGTGAATTGAAGTCTTAAACAGCTTGCAATCTTTCATTTAAGATATACAGTAATAAGTATCCTGCTTAATGGTAATTTCCGTATTGGTAAAAATTAACTTGGAAAAATATTTTTGAGGAACCAATTCCGAGTTGACGTCGAACAGTCCTGAACGAGGTTCGAACTCCTTATCTTCCTCCAATTACTATTTTGCAGCTCGGTTTACGTGTATTTTGACACTTGACTAATTTTACAATCTCACTATATCTCTTCCACCGTCTATACCACACGTCCCTGTCTCGACCTGTATATCAGTGCCGTTCAGTCATTGCCCGTACGGGCAGCGTATTAGGCTTTCCCGGGCGTAAACAAATCGGCGGGCAACGACCCACGCCTTCTCGGGCATCGGTACATGTACATATGTATGTACAGTGATTCTCGTTAATCTTCGTTGATGGAGAAACAAACGACAGGCACCGAAATATGTAAGAATCTTCAGATTTATTACAGTTATAGGCCGAAAGTCGTGAAATAGTGCGGTTTTCACAATGTTTAACCATTTGTAGCTCATAGCAACATTAACCGTTTCGATAAAATTTTTAGCATGTGTATAATTGACATCGATCTACAAAACGTATGTTTTACATTTTCATTACAAGCTCAGATAAAAAAGTTGTAAACGGTGACCTTTACAATTTTCTTCGCGATTCCCACAAATTGCAATTTTTTCAAAAATTCTTGTCCACGTCATCTAGTAAACTAATCCTTCTAACTTCTGCAAAAAAACTCAAGTCGTTAGGTCCAATTGTAAGAAAGTTATTCTGTTTTAAATGGGTTTGAATACTTTCTGCAACCAACTGTAAATATGCATGTATTTAGTAACCATCCCCTGTCTTAAGAAGAAGAATTATGTCTACGGTTTACGAGGCTATACCTCTACCACAAGCGTCTTTCCTCTACTCCGCTTTAATATATGTGATATCACTAGCCCGCCACTTCGCCCTCAACTTTGCCCGCGGGCATCGGCGGGTGCCCTTGCCCGCCTTAAGTCCTGATGAACGGCACTACTGCATATGAATTATGAATGTGAAGCCTTATTTCTATTGCGCGATGTTTTTAAAATAAACAAGAGGTAAATATCGCATTTAAAAAAAAAAATATGAGTACTGTCGCAATTTTTTCGTCGCGTTATACGAAGGCCCGTTGTACTTATAAGAAGAATTGGAAATGAGACTTGAACTTATTACTTTACCTTTAACATGGAGCTACTGTTTTGAAATGAGATAGGAAGTAAACAGTAGAGTAAATTCAACTTCTGTCAGAAATACTCAAATGCTAGTATTCATAATATATCCCACAGATACACATTTCTAATATCATAAGCTCTGCAGATAATTCAAGCTTCTACTACTTGTCACGTCGTGGAGCATGGCGCTTCCTGATAGCAGGGTATGCAATGTACTTGATACCGAGAACCACAGGAAGAAGTAGTCTGTAACAAATCGCAAAAATAAATAAATGTATAGAGTGTTAGAAAAATTCCTTTTCTACAACTACGTTTGTTGTCATTTTTCAGAATATATTCTTTTACGTTTTATTGGACATGAGAATTAGTACTAAGAAAGATTTGTACCCATTTTACACACAGCGATAAATTACACGCGTCTGCAAAATGGCGCCCTTTTACCTGATTCAGACGTTCTCAACAATCACAACGTAATATTTGCCCAATGTACGAAAACATTGTCACGATGAAAGAATTAAGAATTTAGGATTACTTACTCCGTTGTTCCAAGTTTTCCATATATTTTGAATATAAAATTCACCGTTTCATATCTAACTGTACCAATGCAAGACAAAAATTCTGCAACACTTCACGTACAGTTGTGCCTCTATTTATTAGTCAGAAGATTATCATACCTTCCCGAAGCTATCATAAACATTTTATTCTACGACATTCATTCACAAGCGTATAATCGTCTACCCTAATTAAAAAGGAGAAAACAGTCGGCGCTGTTAGGCGAAAGGGGTTCAAGCGAGGTTACATCCTCCGTCAAGTGTCACATCAAAAAGTCAAGCAGTCCACGTCATATGAATTAGGGAAATGAAAATTGCCACGTGTCAGGTGAAGCATCGAACGACAATAGGCACGTGCACTTTGGAACGTCGTAACTGAATACGGTGGAACCGGGTTCCACGGGTATCAGGGGTGGTTCGAGTTTGTGGCTCTTAGTTCGAGTGCCCCGTGCCACACGTGATGTCCTCGTAGATCGCAGAAGGGTTGGTGCGTTTCAGGATATGATTTACAATTTTTTCTACTCATAATACACGTTATTGCATAAATCACTGTACCGTTTACTGGTCACTACAACTGCTGGCAATGAATTTATTTAGAACGATAATTTAAAATTATGACATTCTGAAAAAGGGTTATTCAGTTCTAATTTATTATGGCAATTTTGAAATATAAGAATTCAGCTGAAAAATGACTTTATATCACAGATAGTAGCCAATTCCAGGAAATGTGTACAACACTGTACACGCAAAGCTCTAATATAAATAGGTTATTTTCTTGTGAAAATGTATACCGGGTGTCCTAGTTTTTTCCAATCAAACTTTGTCAGTATGTTCTATGGCAATAGGTAGGAGAAAAACGTTATGTAAAGGTAGGTCGTTTGAAGCTTCGTTAAAGAGTTATGAAAATAATACGAGATACGGAGGGAGAAAGCTGGGACACCCTATATATTACTCGTTTGTCAGTAAAACGGATATGTTGCACTGCGATAGATCAACAAGGATGAATGAATTAGCCGCTCCTCTTACGGGGAATTTTTCCAAATGTAGACGTGCGATCGATACGAGGGTAGATTTTTTCGCGTGACGAAAGGATTTCAAGGAAATTCGTATCAACTGTATTGCACTAAATGTACACATGCACTACTAGTGGCGAATTACTTGTGATTGTAAGTGTTTTTAAATTATTAACTTGGCAACTAAACTCGCGAACTTATGTTTTGTGATTTCCTTTTTTAATTGTAATAAACTTATTACTGGGAACTATGGTTGCTGCTTCTTACAGTAATTATTGCTATTGCCAAGTTAAACGTTTGTAGAAATGTTAGAATTGGAAATTTTGTATTTTAGCACTAACAATACAAAAAGCGTTGAATTTGTTAAAAATATAAAAAGACGTATCTTAAAAACTGAAACAACTGAAAGATTTCGATAACAACGTACTCTGTACTTTTTAATTTTAATAAATATAGCAACTAAGACGAAAAGTGAAATTATCGCAATGACTTTTGCAAGTACGTCTATCTCAAGTAAATGAAAGCAAAACTCGTAATCTTACCTTGTCGAAAACTTCATCGGGCGGACAAGGCAAAACGCGAGATTGGGATCCCCTACATTCGACATACTGCAAACAGTCCAGGGGATAAGGCAAAGCAACTACTTCTTCTTCGCCTCCTACAATTTTCGTCTCCGGACATTTTGGTATCTGACAATTTTTCGAGAGATTATTTTGAGGGTCTCCCGGTTGAGGCAATGGCACACCAGCATCGGCAAAAGTGGCAATTAGGCAAATGCAATGCAGCGCAAAGATGAATTTCATTTGAAAGGCTTGAGCACTGAAAGTAAGAAAGAGAACGTAAATTTAAATGAAATTAGTTTGAAAATGATAGTCAAGATTGGAAATTTCGCCGATAACGGTATTTCACATTAATTACCATCAAACAGTTTCGTAAATTATCAGTTTATTAATGAAAATCAATTTTAATTTATTAATGCAAATATTTCGATAAGTGATACTTTTATGACGGTACTTCCTACACTCCACCGCCAGAGGGACGGACTAACTGATGAAACATCAACCTTTCTCGCAAGTCTTCGCCGAGGCTTCTATTTCTATATACAGGGTGAGTCGTATAAGGTGTCTAGGCGCAAAAAAAAAAAAAACACTAAAAATGATTAAAAATCAAAAACACGAAAAGAGATTATTTCTTCATGGACATAATAAAATTTCTCTAGAAATATCGTGATTTCTTGTAAACTCATATGCTTCTTATTTTGACTTATACATTCTTTAACGATGGAAACGTTCGATTTTCCCTTACCAAACATGTACATATTTCTATGATAGATCTGAGAGATCTGTTTCGTTGCAACAACTTTGAAGTGAATCCCTGAAAACGGTTAGGTTCACACGTGATTCTTAATAATCGACGTCCAGTTACGCTCTCAAAAGATGTCCGATTAGTGCTCGACACGATTTTTCTAAGGCAATATTTCTGCGGTCCGAGGGCTGCCTACGTTTGCTACGTTGAACGAGGGAAGAACAAAATGTTCTTCAAGAAAGAAGCAGTGTCGATGGACAAAGTAGGTCACGAGCCGTGACCTCCACGTCTTTTGCACAACCTCGAGGATCTGGCTTCTCCACTTAATTACCTCCACGTGCTCCGCGTATGCGACGTGAATTTTAACACATTGAACGTAGCCCACCGTGACGAGGAAAAATATTTGGGAATAATGGGAGAGCATATCGGGATTTCTACGAGAGACAGCATCAGTGCGGCGTCCTTTGATAGCAAAGAAGAAGCTCTGTTTAATGAACAGAACCTTCTCCTTCAAGAACTTCGTGTTGAAATGTAATTACAATTCAAAAAAATCTAAGTAAATTAATCTAATTCTAAATGTTAATTAGAGTTAATGAGTAAATTATATATCGCGGGATTCGTTAATTTGACAAAAGAAAATAATTGGAAAAAGTATATGTACTTCATGCAGCCCTGACTGAGGTTTCGGATCCTTATCTCTTCAGGTTTCTGTCGATTCACTTGTCGATAGGTTCGAATGTGTAAACTCTGACGCCTTGCCGGTTTTATGACCTCGCTATATTTCTTTCATCGACTATACCTATTTTACGTGAACTAAATTCATAGAATTATCTGAATACAAAAACATTTTCTATGCATGAAAACGGAAAATTCCAACAAAAAGTCATAGTTCCTATATAAAGTACTACAATATTGACAAGTTTTAATAGTTTTCATTTACTTCAATTTAGGCTAGAGCCATCGTTATGCATCTGTGTTTTTGTTCCAGACCGTTGCAGTTCATAAAACTCAAATCATAGCAAACAACACTAATTAACTATTAAATATCTTTGTGCGAGAAAAATTACAAACTACAACAAAATATACTTA